TTTTTTTTTTTTTTTTTTTGTAGATGGACACAACATAATGCCTTTATTTTTATGTGGTGCTGAGAATCGAACCTGGGTCCCGCCCCTGCTAAGCGAGCGCTCTACCACTGAGCCACAATCCCAGCCCAAATATTTACTTTTTTAAAAAAATTAAATTATTTATTTATTATAATTTGTTATACAATGGCAGAATGCAATTCATTTCATATTACACATATAGAGCACAATTTTTCAAATCACTGATTGCATATTTACTTTTAACATTGGAATATTATATAGTTGTTAAACATGATATGGAAAGTATATTTGTTAATATAGGCAGAAGTGCATACATAAAAGGAAGTTACGAAATAATACATTCAGGCTAATCCTATTTTTATGAAATATATGTATATATACATACACGGATATAAAAAGTCTGGACGGACAGAGAACTTACATTTATTTAGTGCTTTTTTTATAGATGACTCTCTGTTATAAACTTTTCATGAAATATTTCATTTAATCCTCAAAATAACTCCATGCAGTAGGTACTATTACTAGTAGTACCTCTTTTTCTAGTAGGTAAAAAAACATCCTACACAGATAGCAAGAAGGCCAGCTGAGGTTAAACCCAAGCAATCTGACTTTAGAGTTTATGCCTGTAACTATTATAGTGTGGCAGATAGTTTTATTTTCTTGTTCATGATCTTCCCTGTTTCTAACTTTCCAGAATAAATGTTTAGGGCTGAGGATGTAGTTCAGTGGTAGAGCCCTGGCTAGTGAGGCTGTGGGTTTGATACCCAGCACCACCAAACACACACACACACACACACACATCTATATACACACATACATACAAAAAATGTTTATTGAATACCTACTTAGTACAAGGCACTATGCCACAAACTCAGTTTTTGTTAAATCATCTAAATACAAATAAAAAAACTGAGTTATAACAGCATTCAAAATTTATTCTCGTTTAGGAGAAAAATGCTAGATCCTTTTCTTTCATTTAACACATCAGGACAGTAATTCTATACTATTCTGACCTATACCCAAATAGAAAAAAGAAGTTATGATCCTCTACTTTCTTGTTCCTGGCTTTTATACTTTGATAAAAAAGGATTTACAAAAATGTAGCTAATTAAACAGGTATGGTGGTGCATGCCTATAATCCTACTGGCTTGGGAAGCTGAGACAGGAGGATTACAAGTTCAAAGTCAGCCTCAGCAAAAGTGAAGTGCTAAGCAACTCAGTGAGACCCTGTCTCTAAATAAAATACAAAATTGGGCTGGGGATGTGTCTCGGTGGCCATGTGCCCCTGAGTGAAATCCCCAGTACCCTCCCCACTAAAAATGTAGTTAATTGGACATTAATTAGTATAATTCACATTGCAATCACAAATAATCATCGTTTGTTAATAATCACATAATGATTTCTGCTGCTTCTAGACCTCCAAATTTTGAGGGACAGTTCTCTGAATTTGGGAGGTGTGGAGACACAGATCCAATAGACATCACAAGCAGTTATCAAATTGTACATTATGAGCTAACTGTAACAGACACTGTCTAAAGCAAATAAAAAGCAGATGCTGTGACTTCCTTTCAGAAAATTATAATTTAAAGCAGTAGCAATATGAAAGTATGAAATTTAAAAGGTGATTCTTTGTGGTCTACAATAACAAAATGAGATTCTATAGCAATGATCAGATACAAAAATCTATGATAATATCAATACTTGTAATGAAAGAAATACATAATAACAAGCTAATTAAAAGGAGAAAAATGAATATTTATTGATCACCTACAATATACCATCTGCTGTTAGGTGCTTTCAAGTACCTTAATGTAGTCCTTACCATAATCCTTAAAGTATAGTATTCTTTTGCCCACATTTTATAAATGAAAGAAAAAAAAGTTTCAGAGAGATTAAAAAGCTTACCCAAAGTCATCTAGTCAGCAACAGAAACAAAATTTGAATAAAATCTTTCTGATTCTAGACACTGTGTTTTATTACATAAATTAGGCCATGCTCCCTAACAAATAACATTCTTTGTAGCACAAAAGCTGTATTTAGAAAAAAACTCAATAAAGGGACTGGGGTAGTGGCTCAGTGATAGAGCATTTGCCTAGCATGTGTGAGGCACTGGGTTTGATTCTCAGCACCACATATAAATAAACAAAATAAAGGTCCATTGACAACTAAAAAATAATTTAAAAAAACTCAGTGTAAACAATCAACCTAGCATTAGGATTCCACTGTATTTACACTATACTGAAAAACATAGTTAAACTGAAACAGCTAAAATGAAAGATACAACCTAAATAATATTCAAATTGAAAAATCATTTACCTGTTTTTCTGGTCCTAGCACAGGTGAATCTGTTTCTAAGCAGATGGAAGTTAAAGGCAACTGTTTCACAAGTTTCTGCTTCTTAGAGAAAAGAGAAAGGCAATAAAATTAAAATGTGAGAAATACAGATAAAATATTAAACCCATATGCATCATTCCAGAAGAAACTAAAATTCAGGCTTTAATACTAAATTGATAAATACTACCTGGATTCCTACTATGTTCACATTATTCCACTATTAACAGTTATCATTAAAATATAAACACTCATTGATAAACTTATTCAAAGCTTCCAGGGAACTAAGCTTCTAGTTATAACCATAGCAAAAATGAAGTATATCCATCAAGAAATTCAAATATCTGATATCACATATCTTCTGAAAGACCCAAAGAAGAGAATTCCGTCATTGGCCCACCACTGCCACATTCAGTGTTTCTTTCTATTTACCTTTAATTTTTTGAGGAACTACTAAACTGAGTTGGGTGGTGTAGCATCTCACTGTGCCTTTGATTGGCATTAACATAATGGAGAATAATATTGAGCATGTTTATGCACTTATGGTCACTTGATGTTTTCTTGAGAAAAATATCTTTGTAAATCCTTTACCAATTTTTAAAATCAAGTTTTTTTTTTAATTGTTGAGCTGTAATGGTATGTTACGTATTCTAGATACCTGAACTTTTATCAGATACATGACTTGCAGATTTTTTTTCTCTTTATGTGGGTTGTCTTTCCACCTTATTGACAGAATGCTTTGAAGTATATGTCTCTTTTTTTAATTGCAGAAGTTGTGAATTTTGATAATGGCTAATATATATATTTTTTCTTTGGTTGCTTATGTTTTTGTTGTTGTAGCTAGGGAAACCATTGCAAAACCCAGGTCAAAATATTTAGACCTATTTTCTTCTGAGGGTTTTAGAAATTTTAGCTCCTATATTTAGGTCTGTAATCTAGTTTTTAATTAATTTACATATATATATGTGAGATAGAGACCTGAGTTTAATTTTTGAAATGTAACTAGAATAGTATCATAAGTATGTTGTCAAAGCCTATATATTTTTTTTAAAATTTTTTTAATATTTATTTTTTAGTTATCGGCGGACACAACATCTTTGTTTGTATGTGGTGCTGAGGATTGAACCCAGGCCGCATGCATGCCAGGCGAGCGCGCTACTGCTTGAGCCACATCCCCAGCCCGTCAAAGCCTATATTTTAAAGTACATTTCACAAAGTATCGGATGATAAGTTTTAATGAAAGAACTTACCTGTCCACTTCTTATGATAGAAGGTGGAATTGAGAAGAAGTACCCAGCTCTTACTCCTTCCATGGCTACAGATGGCCGGCCATCAAACGCATGCAGCAGTACCTTATCAGCACCTTCCAAAATTAAAGATAAATCAGTGTTCCATTTTGTTTCCTTAAGAAAAGTTTTTCTCTTTAGTCAAATTGAACTACAGAGATTTGAAATTCTAGTAAATCTTGGTCACTGCGATATAAAGGCAAGATTCTATGACTTCAGGGTAGATAAATACAATGTTCAATAAATAGAATAAAAAATATTCTTGGGCTGGGGCTGTAGCTCAGTGATAAAGCACTTGCCTTGCATGTGTGAGGCACTGGGTTCAATCCTCAGCACCACATAAAAATAAATAAAGATACTGTGTGTTCATTTACAACTAAATAAATATTAAAAATAAATTTAAAAAATTTTTTTATATTTTATTATTTTATTTTTTTTATTAGCTACACATGACATTACAATGATCTTGGCAATTCATACATTTGAATCAATTGGGGTATAATTTCTCATTTTTCTGATTGTACAGATTGCAGAATCACATTGGTCATAAAAAATAAATTCTTTTAAATAAAATTTAAACAATTTAAAAAACAATTATTTAAACTGCCCATACCCTCAGATTTTTTTCCAGAAGTCTTTGAATTGTCAAATTATTGCCCCAGTAGAAGATCTTTAGGCACATTTATTTTCCTAAAAAAAAATGCTAATAAAAAAGAAATGGAGAGCTAGATGACTCACAAATTAAACAATTAAGAGTTGGCTTCATAAAATCAACTCTAGTTCTTAAAGGACAATTGCTCAGTCAGCATAAAAATCATGTTTTCAATCATGGGGTTGAGGCTCAGTGGCAGAGCACTTGCCTAGTAGATGAGGCAATGGGTTCGATCCTCAGGACCACATAAAAATAAATAAATAAAGGTATTGTGTCCATCTAGAACTAAAAATTTTAAAAAATGTAAAAAAATCCTGTTTTCAGTGATTTCAGAAGTGTTTAGTATTCATCGCTGAGAAATACAATGTTTAATTGCAGGCAATTACATCTGCTTCATTAATTGACAGTGTTTTTTCAAATGGTATGGGTGACTATGAGTTATGACAATAAATGGGCTACAAAATCAATTTAGTAGGTGATAACCCACAAGCATGGGCTTGCATACACTTAAATACATTTACATACAAATACACATATATGTGCTGCTTATGAAAAATGTTAGCTTTCTTTATGTGCATATGAGTCTCAAAATAAAGAAAATTTCTTACTGTGGATGGCATTTAAAAAAAATAATGCTATCAGATATATTTTTACTTTAGGGACAACCATGAAGATGACAGTGCATTTTATGTATAATGGCCATAATCAGTACAGTATTATTTTGTGAAGCAATAGGCAGAAAACCTACAAAACACTGATCCAAGATGACTGTTGTGTGATTGCCCTGCCTTGCTTTGTTTTCTTCTTTCATGTTACTCATGGTGACTTAGAAGCTGGAGTTGCTGCTGGGCGCAGTGGCGCATGTCTGTAATCCCAGCAGTGAGAAGCTGAGGCAGGAGAATCGAAAGTTCAAACCCAGCCTCAGCAACTTAGTGAGGGCCTGTCTCTAAATAAAATATAAAAAAAGGGCTGATGATGTGGCTTGGTGGTTAAGCCCCACTGGGCTCAATCCCTGGTACCAAAAGGAAAAAAAAAAAAAAAAAACGAAACCAAACTGGAGCTACTGATTTTTAAAGTAAGGAATATAAATTGATTCAAGTTTTCATTTGCTCTATCCTGTCCTGTTAAATATATTGCGTGAAACCCTTGTAAAAAGCACCCTGACTTGCAAAATCACCTTAGCTGATTTCTGTCTTTGCTCTTGCCTCATTCCCTTCTCTTTAAGAAATCAAATCAAAACGTGGCTTGCTCTATGAGATTAGGAACTAGAAATGTCAAACTTGAAGATTAGACACATGTCTCTCAGGAATCTTAAATACCTTGTTCCTGCAAGAGGCTGATGGTAGGTCTTCCAGCTGAGCGCGAGTGAACGTTTCTGTTTAATAACAACAAAATTCCTTTTAATACTTGGAAATCTGAAAGTATTATTTTTGTTCAATAATTCAGAGAAAAAAGAGATGCAGAACTCCATTTCAGGAGGATTCTTTGGTCATTATTTAATTTGCTCTATAGCTATTAATACAGAAAGATAAGTAAACCTACAGAGGCAAATTTAGTCTTTTGGCTAATCGAACCTGTGTGATTAGAACTTGTCTTTGCTCTTCCTTCTGTTTATCAGTGTTAGCAAATCTGGGAGAGAAATCTAGTCCAACCTGTAACAGAAAAATAAAGGAAATTACATATTTATGGCTTAATAAATCCCCAAAGAGATTCTATAAATCAGTGCTACGTGATAGAAACACATCATAAGCCATATATAGAATTCATATTTTATAGTAGCCACATTAAAAATATTGAAAAAAAAACAAGTGAAATTAATTTTAATAACAAACTTTATTTTATTTAACCCAGTAGATTCAAAATATCATTTTAACATGTACAAAAACCTGAGTTTTTTATATTATTTTTCTGGGAGAGGGTACTGGACTTTGAAATTCAGTATGTGTTTTACACTTACAGCCCATTTCAATTTGGAGGACTCATATTTCAAGTGTTCAACAGCTACATGTGGTTATCACACTGGACAGCATAGATCATAGATGACTGTTTCCTTTGATACTATATTGGCATGCATTCTATTATCTATACTCTAAGTTTGAATGTTATTCTTCTATCTTGAATAAGAAATGGACTTTATTAATAGGTGATGAAAATATTTTAGCATTATAAATAATTTAAATAAAACTGTTACAAACTATACCCTATTTAAAGTTTGCTTTTAAATTACTTATGAAGGGATACACACACACACACACACACATGCACAACTTTAACAAAAGCAATGATCTACATTTAAGCAAAAGGAAAAAATAAAAAGCAAAGTATTTAGAAATGCTATTAGTATAGTTTTTCTCTCTTATTAATAAAGCCTATGGTTTTCTATTCTTTCATCCCCATGCTCTCTTGCTTATTGAGGAACTCTCAACAAATTCAGCTGAATGAAGTGAACATAATTATTCAAGTCAGTTATAATCACCAATATGAAACTAAGGATTATCTTCACCTATCATATATCATTTGGAGGTCTAGATTAAAAGTTGTTTGATCAGCTAATGGGTCTTTACCTCTCCAATTGCCAACAACTGATCCTTATACTTCTCGATGATAGGCAAAGCTAAATCCAAATCCTGGGAGAACAAAAAGTAAATTTGTTAAAATGGAAGAAGGGAACTACTATTTCATGAGCACATATTGAGTGCTAGGCTCTATGCTATGCCGATACTTTACATTCATTTAATGTGTTTAACCGGTTAATGAACTAAGAATAGTAACCCTTCTATAATTGTGAGTACTTCTAGCTATAGTCTGAGTAGAAACTTATCCCATACCTATTCAGATTATAAAAATATGACTTTTCAACGAAGAGTCCCATTTAATCATTGCCCTCTGTTTACAGACATTTCCTGGCAGTTAGTTAGGAAGTATAATTTGGTAAAATTTTGGATTATTATAGCCAACTGGATCTTTTAAAGACATAAATCACATCTTGTCACTCCACACTTTACATCCTCCATTACATGTAAACTAAAATCGAACAAGGTCTTTATGAGATATCTGTCCAATTCTTCTGATTCTATCATTATCACTTTCTCTATCCCTTTAGCCATATCAGCCTTCTATTTCTTCAATCCCCAGTACCTCAAAAAAATATAAAGTAAAACTAAACAAAACAACAACAGCAAAACACCATCCAAATTCCTATCAAATAATCATTTTTTTTCAAAGCACTTAGTGCTTTGAAAGTTTTCTGGTTTATATAATTGTTGATTGTCCCATCTAAAATCTAGCTTCCATGAGAGGGTTTTTACTCATTGTCAGGTCTCTACTGCTCAGAGGAGGGGCTGGCACATAGTAGGTGCTCAGTAAACACTGGTTAACTAAATGAACACTTATGGTAATAGACCTCTATATAAATAGTAGAGATCCTTTGGAGTGCTGTCCTGCTCTGGTTTCCAACATTTTGGATTGTGATTCTCTGGCAGTTAAGCTAATTGTATCATACTCAACAACTCAGGAGGACAAGAGGATAAGCATTTTTACCTGAAGTGAATTAAAAGCAATTTCTTTTCTTTTCTTTCTTTCTTTCTTTTTTTTTTGGTACCAGGGATTGAACTCAGGAGTGCTTAATCACTGAGCCACATCCTCAGCCTTTAAAATTTTTTATTTTATTTTATTTTTTATTTTGAGACAGGGTCTTGCTAAGTTGCTTTGGGCCTTGCTAAATTGCAGAGGCTGGCTTTGAACTCATAACCCTCCTGCCTCAGCCTCCAGAGATGCTAGGATAACAGCCATGAACCACCATGCCTGGCAAAGCAATTTTATTTTGAAATAAATTATTTGCTATTATGGTTTGGATATAAGGTATCCCCCAAAGTTTCCTGTTAATGCAGGAGTAGTTAAATGTAAAATGATTAGACTATGAGACCTAATCAGTCCATCCTGGCTGGAGAAGGTGGTTCACTGGGGGCATGCCCTGGAAGGGCTGTTCTACCTGCAGTCCCTTCCTCTTTCTCTCTCCACTTCCTGATCTCACTGTGAGCTGAGCAGAATTCCTGCACTGGGCCTTTCTCCTATGATGTGCTGCCTCACCCAGAGCAATGAAGTTGGCTGTCTATGGATGAAAATCTCCAAAACTATGAGCCCCCAATCAACTTTACCCCCTCTAAGTTGTTCTTGCTGGGTATTTTGGTCATAGTGGTGAAAAGCTATCTAAAACATATGCCAAATTCATTCACTTCTCTTTACCTGTACCACTCTCACTTTGGTTCAACCCATCATTATTCTCACGTGAACTACTGCAATAGCCTTCTAACTATCCTTTTTTCTTTTTTGCCCTCCTCAGAATTCATTCTTCATACCGTAGACAAAGGGATCTTTTTAAAATATAAATCACACCTTGTTACCATCTTTAATGTAGGAATATACTAAATACATTAGTATAAAAGTCGATGGCCCTAACCAAAGGGTAATTACTTCTTTGAAATGATCTATCAACTCCATTATATAACAAAAAAACTCAAAAAATTGTGCATCTTCATGATGCTGAGTCAGGAGACAAGCATGAAATATAACACATATTGAATACAGTGAGTCAGTGAGACCATGTGGATAGGATGATTTTAGAGAGAGTATAATATCAATGCAATTTAATAGCTTGTGAGCAATTCTGAAGAGATGCTTTCATGTTCAGAGAACCCAATTATACCTGTGAATCTTTGTATCTTTCTTTTTCTAGATATATTCTATCACTTTTTTTCCAAAGAAATATGACTACAGGACAAAAAAATGTGGAATAAAGTAATTTATAATTCTATCAGATCATCATAATTACTATCATTTCTGTGTTTTTCTTTCCAGTCTTTTCCTTGTGGAATATATTTTTATTATTATTATTTTTGGGGGTACTGGGGATTGAACTCAGGGGCATTCAACCACTGAGCCACATCCCCAGCCCTATTTTTGTATTTTATTTAGAGATAGGGTCTCACTGAGTTGCTTAGCGCCTTGCTTTTTGCTGAAGCTGGCTTTGAACTTGAAATCCTCCTGCCTCAGCCTCCCAAGCTGTTGGGATTACAGGCATGCACTACGGTGCCCGGCTTGGAATATGTTTTTACATGAATGTTACTAATAGTCAATAAACTATTTGGTATTGTTTTTCTCCTTATTATAGTAAACATTTTTCATGTGCTACAATAACTTCATAATTCTCATTTTCTATAACTGAATTATAATTAACATTCTACAAGTCAGTTAATGATTCCTTTATTTCTGAATCTTGCAGCTGTTTCTATTTTTCTCTACTATAAATAATGTCATAACAATTTTTTTTTGTGAATGAATGGATTACTTTCTTAGAATATAAATTAGAAAGAGAAGGATAACTGGGTTAAAGTTATTACCAGGAGCTGGGGTAGAGCTTGGTGATAGAGCTCTTGCCTAGGATGTGTGAAGAACTGGGTTTGATCCTCAGCACCACATAGAAATAAATGAATAAAATAAAGGTATTGTGTCCATCTACAACTAAAAAAAATTTTTAAAAAGTTCTTATCATTTTTATGGGTCTTGTTTTATGTGACTATTACCTTTAATGTAACACTTCTTTGGTCTTCTGGTGAAAATTCTTGAACTGGGTGAACACCCAAGCATGGCAGAATGAACCCGCTATATCTAAAAATGTAGAATAAATTAAGAACACAGGAATATAGAGTAGGCAACTACAGTGTCATTATAAAGTAGAAAAGAATCTTAATTTTAGGACTATGCTAATATGCTTTTCCTCCCATTCTCTTTAAAAATAAATATTTGATGTTATATAACTGATATAAGTGTCCTTAATACCAATTCTTTAAAATTTTAATTAGAAGGAGTACCTTTCTGAAAGTTGCATAATCTTTTCAAATTCTCCTGAATGTTCAGCAACTGCTACAAGGGCCATAACATTGGCCTGAAAAAAAAAAAATAGAATAGTTAAGAGTCCCAAACAATACACATCACACATTTAATTCAAATTCAAATTTTAAATTTAGTTATTTTTATTTACTCAGGCTTTTATTATTAATATAATAATAATGGCTAACACTGATTACTTACTGTTTCAGGCCCCAGGCTCAGTTAATATAAATATTATCTCCCTTAATATACACAGACCTAGGAGGTATGTATTGTTATAATCCACTGTATAGATCAGTAGCAGAGTTTTGAATACAGTCAAATAGCTTAAATAGGTCATTAGGCCTGTGGGATTGTAAAGCCCACCCACCTAATTAGGCTGTATGTAAAAAGATATTGGCAATCATTTCTAATTCTATTACTCTCCCCCCGCCCCCAGCCCCGCCCCGCAAATAATAAGGATCCAACCCAGGGCCTTGGGCATGTTAGGCAAGTGCTCTACCACTGAGTTGCATCCCTAGCCCTTTTTCTAAATTCAGTTTTAAGGCAGGGTCTCACTAAGTAGCCCAGGCTGTCCTCAAACTCATGATCCTCCTGCCTCAGCTTCCTGAGTAGTTGGGATCACAGGCATGAGCCACCACACCCAGACTCTACCACTTTCTGATTAGACCGCGAAACGCTAGTTATGATGGATTTCATAAACATTTCCAAAAACTAATAATTTTTCTAGGAAATAAAAATGTTTCAGAAAACTTTTATAATATATCCCCAATCTCTAGAATAATGTGAATTTAAGAACTTACAGATGGACCATTCTGTTATACAAGACTAGTAAGAATAGTGGTTTCAGGAATATGTTTTGAATTCAGACTAACCTGTCTCTATCACTTCACTAGCATGTGTCTTTGAACTAGAGATACTAATTTCTCGGCTTTAACTGTGTCATCTATCAAATGGGAAATGGTTGGCTACAAAATAGTACTTCCTCAGAGGGTTATAAAACATTAAGTGAGATAAAATTCAGAAAGGGCTTAGCTTGGAGTGGCCTCCGGACTCTCTGCGACCGCTGCTGGGACTGGAAGACCCCAGCTGCCACATTGAAACAGGCAGGGCCTGGCGTGCCCCCTGGGCATCCCTCCTTCCTCGAGCGGCCTCGGCTGTCCCGGCCCCCCACCCAGGCCGCCCCGACCTGCTGTCTGCTCCCCGAAGCTGCTGACCTGGCTGCAAAAAAACATAAGTTTCCAAGAGGCAGGTGGAGAAAGAGGAGAAGGGCTACCCGGAGCAGCGGGGGGCGGTGGGGGGAGCCGGCTGCGGAGGGCGACTGAGCGCCGGGAGCCCCAGACATGTCCAGGTGGAAGCAGGCGAAGCCGGGCTTGGTGAAAGACAAACCACTGTGACTCAGCACTAAAGAGATCCCGCTGAAACAACTGGTCGGCTCTTCTGATCCTATGGAGGTTAATGCCAACCGAGCCTTCATAGGCAGTGGCCACAGGATTGAAATGGGGCTTGGGAGAGACAGTCAGGACCCACCTGTTGCATTGGTCACCCGGCAAAGGGAACGAACTGTCACCATTTGCATGGGATACCACCATGGCAGAGAACTGACGTCACCAGAATGCGGCGGAGGAGATAACTTCATTGAAACCAGCAGTGACAGCATCAAATAAATTTATAGGATTAAACAGTAACTCAGCAGTCAAACAGAACAAGAAGTAACATGAGCAGCATGAAAAAGCAAGGAAGAAAAGGAGTACAAACAATGCAGGACAGCCTAAATATTCAGGAGGACCTAGAGTCATCAGAAAAATGGTCAAATAAAGAACTCAAGGAATACCTTAGACAGATGGAATGGAACCTTAAAGAGGATATGAGACAGCAAATTCAAACAGTGAAAGAACTCATTGAAAATGAATTACATAAACAGATAAAAGAAGAAGTTAAGCATCTTTATCAGGAGATAGAGATTATAAAAAAAAACCCAAACAATAATTCTAGAAATGAAGGAAACTATAAACCAAATTAAAAACTCAAATGAGAGTATCACTAACAGAGTGGAGCAAGTAGAAGCCAGAACGTCAGATAATGAAGACAAAATATATCATCTTGAAAAGAGTCTAGCCAACTCAGAAAGGCTGGTAAAAATTCACGAGAAAAACATCCAAGAGATATGGGATAACATAAAAAAACCAAACTTAAGAGTCATCGGGATAGAGGAAGGTATAGAGATTCAAACCAAGGGAATGAGTAACCTGCTGAATGAAATAATTAGAGAAAACATCCCAGAAATAAAAAAGGAAACGGATATACAAATTGTAGATGCATACAGGACACCGAGCATCACAGTAGACCAACACCAAGACACATTGTTATGAATATATCTAATATACAGAACAAAGAGAAAATATTAAAAGCTACAAGAGAAAGGAGGCAGATTACATTCAGGGGTAAACCAATAAGGTTAACAACGGATTTTTCATCACAGACGCTGAAAGAGAGAAGATCCTGGAACAACGTATTTCAAACACTGAAAGACAATGGATGCCAACCAAGAATTCTGTATCCAGCAAAATTAAGCTTCAGGTACGACAACGAAATAAAAATCTTTCATGATAAATAAAAGTTAAAAGAATTTGCAGACAGAAAACCAGCATTGCAAAGCATCTTGAGCAAAACACTACACGAGGAAGAAATGAAAAACAATAACCAAAACCATCAGTGGGAAGTGCCTCAGTAAAGACAGAGGGCGGGGGAAAGCTAATCATGGAGAAACAAACTAAATTAAAAAAAAAAGATAAATAATCAAACATGGCTGGAAGTACAAACCATATATCAATAGTAACTCTAAACGTTAATGGCTTAAACTCTCCAATAAAGCGACATAGGCTGGTAACATGGATTAAAAAAACAAATCCAACAATATGCTGCCTCCAGGAGACACATCTGATTGGAAAAGACATACACAGGCTGAAGGTGAAAGGTTGGGAAAAAATATACCACGCACACGGTCCTCGTAAGCAAGCAGGGGTGGCCATCCTCATATCGAATAAAATCGACTTCAAGACTAAGTTAATCAAAAGGGATAAGGAAGGACATTATATACTGTTAAAAGGAACCATTCACCAACAAGACATAACAATTATCAATATTTATGCACCAAATAATGGTGCTGCGACGTTCATAAAACAAATTCTCCTCAAGTTCAAGAATCAAATAGAACACAACACAATAATTATGGGTGACTTCAACACACCTCTCTCACCATTGGACAGATCCTCCAAACAAAAGTTGAATAAAGAAACTATAGAACTCAATATCACAATCAATAACCTAGACTTAAATGACATATATAGAATATATCAACCATCATCAAGTGGATATACTTTTTTCTCAGCAGCACATGATCCTTCTCAAAAATAGACCATATATTATGCCATAGGGCAACCCTCAGTAAATATAAAGGGGTGGAGATAATACCATGCATTTTATCTGATCATAATGGAATGAAACTGGAAATCAATGATAAAAGAAGGAAGGAAAAATCCTACATCACATGGAAAATGAACAATATGTTACTGAATGATCAATGGGTTACAGAAGACATAAAGGAGGAAATCAAAAAATTCTTAGAGATAAATGAAAATACAGACACAACATATCGGAATCTATGGGACACAATGAAAGCAGTTTTAAGAGGGAAATTCATCGCCTGGAGGTCATTCCTCAAAAAAAGGAAAAACCAACAAATAAACGAGCTCACACTTCATCTCAAAGCCCTAGAAAAGGAAGAGCAAAACAACAGCAAATGTAGCAGAAGGCAAGAAATAATTAAAATCAGAGTGGAAATCAACGAAATTGAAACAAAAGAAACTATTGAAAAAATTAACAAAACTAAAAGTTGGTTCTTCGAAAAAATAAATAAGATCGACAGACTCTTAGCCATGCTAACAAAGAGAAGAAGAGAGAGAATTCAAATTACTAACATACGGGATGAAAAAGGCAATATCACAACAGATGCTACAGAAATACAGAAGACAATTAGAAATTATTTTGAAAACCTATATTCCAATAAAATAGAAGATAGTGAAGACATTGATAAATTTCTTAAGTCATATGATTTGCCCAGACTGAGTCAGGAGGATACACACAATTTGAACAGACCAATATCAATGGATGAAATAGAAGAAGCAATCAAAAGACTACCAACCAAGAAAAGCCCAGGACCGGATGGGTATACAGCGGAGTTTTACAAAACCTTTAAAGAAGAATTAATACCAATACTTTTCAAGTTATTTCAGGAAATAGAAAAAGAGGGAGCTCTTCCAAATTCATTCTATGAGGCCAACATCACCCTGATTCCGAAACCAGACAAAGACACCTCAAAGAAAGAAAACTACAGACCAATATCTCTGATGAACCTAGATGCAAAAATCCTCAATAAAATTCTGGCGAATCGGATACAAAGGCACATCAAAAAAATTGTGCACCATGATCAAGTAGGATTCATCCCTGGGATGCAAGGATGGTTCAATATACGGAAATCAATAAATGTTATTCACCATATCAATAGACTTAAAGATAAGAACCATATGATCATCTCGATAGACGCAGAAAAAGCATTCGACAAAGTACAGCATCGCTTTATGTTCAAAACATTAGAAAAACTAGGGATAACAGGAACCTACCTCGACATTGTAAAAGCTATCTATACTAAGCCTCAGACTAGCATCATTCTGAATGGAGAAAAATTGAAGGCATTCCCTCTAAAATCTGGAACAAGACAGGGATGCCCTCTATCACCACTTCTATTCAATATAGTTCTCGAAACACTGGCCAGACCAATTAGACAGACGAAAGAAATTAAAGGCATAAAAATAGGAAAAGAAGAACTTAAATTATCACTATTTGCGGATGACATGATAATATATTTAACAGACCCAAAAGGGTCTACAAAGAAACTGCTAGAGTTAATAAATGAATTCAGCAAAGTGGCAGGATATAAAATCAACACGCATAAATCAAAGGCATTTCTGTATATCAGCGACAAAACTTCTGAAATGGAAATGAGGAAAAACACTCCATTCACAATATCCTCAAAAAAAAAAAAATACTTGGGAATCAACCTAACAAAAGAGGTGAAAGATTTATACAATGAAAACTACAGAACCCTAAAAAGAGAAGTAGAAGAAGATCTTAGAAGATGGAAAAATATACCCTGTTCATGGATAGGCAGAACTAACATCATCAAAATGGCGATATCACCAAAAGTTCTCTATAGGTTTAATGCAATGCCAATCAAAATCCCAATGGCATTTCTTGTAGAAATAGATAAAGCAATCATGAAATTCATATGGAAAAATAAAAGACCCAGAATAGCAAAAGCAATTCTAAGCAGGAAGTGTGAATCAGGCAGTATAGCGATACCAGATTTCAAACTATATTACAGAGCAATAGTAACAAAAACAGCATGGTACTGGTACCAAAACAGGCGGGTGGACCAATAGTACAGAATAGAGGACACAGAGACTAATCCACAAAGTTACAACTATCTTATATTTGATAAAGGGGCTAAAAGCATGCAATGGAGGAAGGATAGCATCTTCAACAAATGGTGTTGGGAAAACTGGAAATCCATATGCAACAAAATGAAACTGAATCCCCTCCTCTCGCCGTGCACAAAAGTTAACTCAAAATGGATCAGGGAGCTTGATATCAAATCAGAGACTCTGCATCTGATAGAAGAAAAAGTTGGCTCCGATCTACATATTGTGGGGTCGGGCTCCAAATTCCTTAATAGGACACCCATAGCACAAGAGTTAATAACAAGAATCAACAAATGGGACTTACTTAAACTAAAAAGTTTTTTCTCAGCAAGAGAAACAATAAGAGAGGTAAATAGGGAGCCTACATCATGGGAACAAATTTTTACTCCTCACACTTCAGATAGAGCCCTAATATCCAGAGTATACAAAGAACTCAAAAAATTAGACAATAAGATAACAAATAACCCAATCAACAAATGGGCCAAGGACCTGAACAGACACTTCTCAGAGGAGGACATACAATCAATCAACAAGTACATGAAAAAATGCTCACCATCTCTAGCAGTCAGAGAAATGCAAATCAAAACCACCCTAAGATACCATCTCACTCCAGTAAGATTGGCAGCCATTCTGAAGTCAAACAACAAGTGCTGGCGAGGATGTGGGGAAAAGGGTACTCTTGTACATTGCTGGTGGGACTGCAAATTGGTGCGGCCAATTTGGAAAGCAGTATGGAGATTCCTGGGAAAGCTGGGAATGGAACCACCATTTGACCCAGCTATTGCCCTTCTCGGACTATTCCCTGAAGACCTTAAAACAGCGTACTACAGGGATACTGCCACATCGATGTTCATAGCAGCACAATTCACAATAGCTAGACTGTGGAACCAACCCAGATGCCCTTCAATAGATGAATGGATAAAAAAAATGTGGCATTTATACACCATGGAGTATTACGCAGCACTAAAAAATGACAAAATCATGGAATTTGCAGGGAAATGGATGGCACTAGAGCAGATTATGCTAAGTGAAGCTAGCCAATCCCTAAAAAACAAATGCCAAATGTCTTCTTTGATATAATGAGAGCAACTAAGAATAGAGCAGGGAGGAAGAGCAGGAGGAAATGATTAACATTAAACAGAGACATGAGGTGGGAGGGAATGGGAGAGAAAAGGGAAATTGCATGGAAATGGAAGGAGACCCTCATTGTTATACAAAATTACATATAAGAGGTTGTGAGGGGAATGGGAAAATAAACAAGGAGAGAAATGAATTACAGTAGATGGGGTAGAGAGAGAAGATGGGAGGGGAGGGGAGGGGGGATAGTAGAGGATAGGAAAGGTAGCAGAATACAACAGTTACTAATATGGCATTATGTAAAAATGTGGATGTGTAACCGATGTGATTCTGCAATCTGTATTTGGGGTAAAAATGGGTGTTCATAACCCACTTGAATCTAATGTATGAAATATGATATGTCAAGAAGTATGTAATGTTTTGAACAACCAATAAAAAAAATCTATAAAAAAAAAAAGAAAGGGCTTAGCTTGGTTCCTGGCATAGAGTAAGCATTTGTACAAATGCCACTTATTAACTACTGAAACAACATCAACATAGTATATCTAAAGTTCAAACTGTTTCAGCTTGAAATTAGTTACAGTTTGAGATTAGCAGGAAAGACAAAGAAGAACAAGGGAGACAACTATAGGTACTGACTTACCTTCTTGGCTTTTTCCAACACATCGTCCAGATCCTAAAATAAGCATAGATTATCACAATTAGATGAATATGTAATGACTCCTTGGCTGTGTATATTGATGCAGTTGAGGAACCATAAAGAATGACAATGTTAGCAAGGAACAGGATGGTGGAAAGTGAGAAGCCTACACTGACCCACCTCCTGTTACTCTCAAGTCTGGCTTCTTTTGTCACTGCACTAAAAAAGAAATTGCTGTTGTCAAACATCAAGGATATTTCTCTGTTCTTTTCTTACTCTACCTCTCAGCAGCACTAGGAAACCCTCATTTGTCTACCTTTTCCTTCTTAAAAGAGTTTCCACTCTTGCTTTGCACAACCACCATTTTCTCACTGGCAGCTACTTGTTAGTTTCATGACTGGCTTCCCTCCTTCTCCTGACTTCTCCCTCTGCTCTTCCTTCTGCACTTGCATTAAGGGATCTCATCTGTTTTCAGTTTTAAGTATCATTCTATTGGGGCTGAGGTTTTAGCTCAGTAGTAGAGCACTTGTCTAGCAGGTGTGAGGCACTGTGTTAGATCCTCAGCACCATATAAATAAATAAAATAAAGGTATTATGTCTATCTGTAACTTAAAAAAAAATTAAAAGATCATTTTGTTGAATCTCCAATCTCTCCTGAACCCATGATTCATATTTAAAAATGACTATATGACCGCTCCACTTGGACTGATCAAGCTTTCCAACCTGTTCCCAATATAAATCTTTCTTTTCTTCCCACAAACCAATTTCGTTTGCTTACCTCCCCACCACATGCTAGTAAGCAGCTCCACAATTCTCCCTACAGTATAAGTTACAAATATGAGACTACTTTGATTTTTCCCTTTCCCTTCCTCTCCAAATCCAATTCCTTAGCAAGTATAATAGAGTCTATCTCTAAAATATTTCTTGAATACATCTACTCCTTTCAGACTCCTCCACTATCATTATAGTACTGTCACCAAAAGCTCAGTCCTTGTCTCTGATATCAATCCAATAACGAGGGCATAATTTGGAGAAGAAAGGAAAACAAAGTTTCATTGCTTTACTAGCAAAGGAGAAAACACAAGGGATTCCTGTCACAGAGACTGTGATTCTGCTCATCAGGGGGAATGGGGGAGGGCGGTTTATTTATTTATTTATACTTCTAATAAACTAGAAAAATACTTTGATTAAGTAAAACAACAATATACCATGAAAAAGCCACTCCCATTATCTGGAATACTAAAACCCTTATATAACATTACATATTTTAATATAAAACAGTAGAAACTCATCAGAAACCTCAAAATATTCAAAAACCAATGTTAAGTACTCAGAAAAAGCTCCAGAATCTGAAATCTCATACTCCATACATCCCAGTGTTACCCTAAATTGTGATTAGCTACCCATACGCTGTGTCATAATTGACCTTTTCAAAATTTACAGACAAGTCAATGCATCTATTTTAAAAGACTACCCTTTACAGTTAAGAACTTTACATTAACTTTTATATTCTACTCAGCAAGCTTTCTGGAATAGGGGAGTTTTAAAGAGATGATTCAGGGGGCTGGGGCTGTAGCTCAGTGGCAGGCCGCTTGCCTAGCATATGTGAAGCATTGGATTGATCCTCAGCAGCACCACATAAAAATATATTAATAATTTTTTTTTTTTAAAAAAAAGGTGATTCAAAGGCTAAGTTCCTGTAGTTTTCTGTCCAGAGTTGTAATTCACTTGTTTATTTGTGAGCTAGTCATCTCTTAAGATCCCCCAAGTCTGAATAATTTCTATTCTATTCCTGTTCTGAGTGTGTGCTCAAGGCCAGATAACTGCCTAGGATGGGAAAGAAAGATAATCCTGTTTGCCCTGAAATTAGGGAGGGGGAAATTCCAGAGAGAAAGGAGGGAGAGAGGAAATGAAAGAAAACATGTCCATTTTAAAATAAGCCTCAGTGGCAGAGCAGCAAGGGCTATATTCAAAGCACAAAGTGGATCATTGTTATAGTACTAAGCATCATTTCTTGTCTGATAATGTAAAAGTCTCTTAACTGGTCTACCTTCTATTCTACCTCCATCTATTTGCCACAGCAGCAAAATGATCTTCAAGTGGCTATTTGATCTGGTCAGCCTTATTAACTCCTCAGACCCACTTTTAATGGAACTGAATTGTGCATCTAATGCAATTCAAATTCCTTACTGACTTACCTTACCCATCTCCTACAAAATTCTTCAGTCTAGCTTCATTTCTTCCTCTCCGTAGCTCATTAGGCTCATCCAGCCTTTTGGTAAATGGAATGCGCTAAATTTTATCCTGGGGACCTGCAACCTGCCTGCTCCACTAAACCACCTTGCCTTGGCTGGCTTTTTAATATTCCCAGCCATAAGCCTCACCTCCTAACAAGTTTGCTCCCTGAAACAGACACCCACTCTTCCTTCTCTGTTAGCAGTCTCTTGTTTCCAACGTAGCAGGCAAAACACTTTATAAACTGGTTTTGTGAGTGTGAGTGTTATTCTTTTAGTTTGCCTCTCTGCTTCATTAGAACTGGAGCATGCGATGTGTCAGATGGGGGGGAGGGGTTAGAGAATATGGGATAAGCAGCCCGGTCCAGGGAAGGTAGGAAAATGGACTTCAAGAACCAGAAACAGCAAACACAAGCTTTGTGGAGAGTTTACTGTAATCCAGGGTCAGAAAAAAAAAAAAATCAATATGACTGGGGTTAAGCAGGAAATCGGGCAGGTCTCAAAGGGACACGGGCAAGGCCTGGGATTTGGGGGCTTCACTCCCAACGGGGGAGAGAAAGATAATCTGCGGGGAAAAGAAGAGAACCTCCCCACTCTCCCGAGCCCCGCCTCGTTCTCACATACGCTATCAAAGTCCGAAGCGGACAGGTGGCAGTGACAATCCACCAGCCCCATGCCAACCGCGCCCATCGTCACTTCTGCAGCCGCCACTTCTCTAAACACGCATTGCGAAGCAAAAGCCGGAACGCTTAGGCTGCGTCCCCTCGAGTTTCAGGCAGGACGTGTGCTCCTTCCACTAGTTGGAACTCGGACTTCCGGTCCCAGGGTCCCCGCCTGCAGTTCAAACTGGAAAATGGCGGGGGCTTCTGAGTCAGTGGCTGTCGCCCCTTCGCAGGACCAAGAGCTAGTGGCCGGGACAGACAGCCAGACCGCAGTCCCAGCCAACCCCCGAGAGGACTTCCGAGTGCGTTGCACTTCGAAGAGAGCTGTGACGGAACTGGTAGAACTGTGCAGCCGTTTCGTGCAAAAGCTCGGAGACGCGCTGCCAGAGGAGATTCGGGAGCTCGCGCTGCGAGATGCGCAGTGGGTACGGACCAAGTTTGCCGCCTGTTTATCACTCCCTTCCCCCGTTCCCCGGGGCTCCGGGCTAAGAAAGACCCTACTCCAGGCCTCAGCGGAATTAACGGTGCCCAGGCTGCTGTAGAAGCAGCCTGAGAAAGGCGAGGGGAGAACGAAATAGATGTTAGTGTCAGCTGGGTATTATTAATTACTTGGACCAGTGCTGACCTGGGAGAAATGTAAGGCGACCTGCATATATAATTATAAAAGAAAAAACAGGCGAAATTAATTGAAATAAAATGTTTTCTTTAACTCAAGGTACCATTTTACCACTTAAAGTAATGATACACTGAACGTGTTACTTTCCTTTCTACGTATCTATTGATTCCTCTTTTGAACGGAGCAGGCATATAATACATTCTGAGGAATTCTCCAAGAAAGGGTAATCCTGGAAAGTCACCTGGCCTTGGCCTTTTGCCGTTTTAGAACCTCTTAGAAGCAGATCGAAAACATTTTCTTTATAAATCTAAAATAAGTGAAGAGGGTACATATGTTGCTTATAAACTTCATTAATGCTAAAGTTAGTCCTTATAACACATTTTCCCTTCCTTTCTCGGATATTTTGCAAAGCCCTGGAGATGGTAGTTTTTGGAAAAAGGAAATAAATTGAGGAATTGGTGCGTATCATAAGGAAACACACAATCTGTGCAAGAAAAATAATTTATAGCTTATAATGCAGCACATTGGTGAATATGAATGATCACAGTGCAAAGAGTTAAAATAGAGATTAAATGGAAAAAGAACGAAGGAAATTCTTTGGGTCCCAGAATGATAGTGCTTGCCTGTAATCTCAGGTACTTGGGAGGCTGAGACAAAAGGATCACAAATTCAAGGGCAGCCTAGGTAACTTAGTGGGGACCTTGTCTCAGAACAAAAATAATAAAGATGGGGATGTAGCTCAGTTGTAGAGTGCCTCTGGGTTCACTCCCCAGTATTACTGGGGGTGGGGGGGAGAGGGAGGGAATAAGAGAGGGGAGTAAGAGAGGTAGAGAGAGAGAGGAAGAGATGAGAAGAAGAGAGGGGAGAGAAAGGGGAGAGGAGAGGAGAGAAGAGAGAAACTCCTTAAATTGTAATTGTAATTTGTATTCCTATTTTATATGCAGTGGTTCATGGAGAGGGAGAGAGAGAGAGAGAGAGAGAGAGAGAGAGAGAGAGAGAGAGAGGGAGGGAGGGGGGGAGGGAGGAAGGAGAGAGAAACTCCTTAGGTTGTAATGTATTCCAGTTTTATATGCAGTGGTTCATGTCATTCCCTCTTATAAGAAAGGCAAGAATAGAAGTATACCTCAGAACATTTTTTAGTAGTTTTTTTGAAAGAGGACTGCAATAATAATAGAGTTTCTCTGATCTTAGGAAATGTTAAGGTATTTTAAACACTTAATTACCAATTACCATACATAAGAAGCAGAATGTGGCTTAACATCTTATATCCTCTTTAGTGAGATCTTAAAGTGAATCACCAAGATAAATTTTTGAAGGCTTAGACTAACTACCAAGGAAATTAACTTGTGTTTCATTTTAAATAAGCTTTAATTATATTGATGTAGCTATTCATCTAAAACTGTATAATATAGTAGCATTTATTCTACAAAAATAGTATTGGTAGGACTGCAGTGAGTATTACAAAGATAATTTGTATTCTTAGGTAATTCTTGGAAGTCCATACATAAATTCTTGCAAGCCCATACACATTTTGTATTGTGTTATGAACATTTTCAACCTAAATTTTACTTTATAAAATCCTTGTAGAATATACATTTTATAATTGTCAGTTATTTGATTTATGCCTATTTTTAATTATAAAAGTGGTACAAAACACATACTCGTTTTTAAAAATTTAAACAGTAGCATTTAAATTTAAGCAATTCTACTTTGCTTAAATTTAAGCAAAATTCTGCTTTGAATTTCTTTTCCTTATCCCTCTTCAAAGCTTCCTGGAGATAACTATTTGGAGAGTACCTGGTGGGGAATAAACCCCCCCTACACACCTTTTTTTATGGTTTTACTCCCCCTTCTGTTTTTGTTTGCTTGCTTGCTTACATTAATAGTGTCATGCTGATGAATTGTTATTGACTTGCCTTTTTTTTAAACTAAATATGTCTTTGACTATTACCTGTCAAATTTTTTTTAAGATGTATGTTTATTTTTTTAGTTGTAGTTGCACACAATAACTTTATTTATATGTGGTGCTGAGGATCGAACCCAGAGCCTCGCACGTGCTAGGCGAGCGCTCTACCACTGAGCCACAGCCCAAGCCCCTGTCAATGTTATATAGAGATGATATTCTTTTAAAGTACCATCTGGTGTGGATATTTATCAATTTTCCTGATTTTTAAATTGAATTTTATTTTTCCCCTTAATTTTTCATATTTCAAACAGTATTGAAATGAACATTCTGTATCATAAAGAGTCCATCCTCTTTTAATTTTTTTAATGAAACTAATCCATTTGGATATATTGCTATAAGTGAAATTGTTGGGTAATAGGGAATATGCATTAAAAATTTAATGGCACTACCAAATTCCTTTAGTTCTTTATTTTGTATTGTGTTAAAGCAAATCTCAGGTCTTTCTGGTCTTTGCATCCCTAAATACTTCAGTGTATCTCTCTAAAAAAAAAATTAAAAAAAAAAAAAAAAAAAACTTTTTTTTTTTTTTTTTAATGGTGCTGGGGATTGAACCCAGGCCTTGTGCATGTGAGGCAAGCACTCTATCAACTGAGCTATATCCCCAGCCCCCCCCATATTGTTATTTATAAAGTAGAAATTAATTTTAGTTTATTTTAAGGATGTTTATTTTCCCTCTTGTTAACAGTGGCATTCATTCTGCAGCATGTGTATCATAGTACACCTGGGATTCAATTGAGTCCAAATTGTTAGCCTTTATTTTTAATTTCATATACAGGTTTTTTATTTATTTGTTTACAAGAGTATTCTAAAATTATGCAGCAAATTTTCTCACAGGTACCATAATGGCTATCATAGCTAAAATTGTTATCAGTACATCTCAGTGACTAAAATGGAATTTTACTTCATTGCAAAGAATAAATGCACTAATAGGCTAGTCTCTAACTTTACTATGTACATGGTCACAAATCTGAAATTATTTTGACAAAATGCTTGGATTTGGCATTAAAAAATTTTTCGGTGACTTGACTACTGTGAATTTATTGCAGACCTTTGAATCAGCTGTGCAAGAGAATGTCAGCATTAATGGGCAAGCATGGCAGGAAGCTTCAGATAATTGTTTTATGGGTATGTGTCATAACTTTTTCTTCTGTCATTAATTTCTTTGTTTTTTGGTCGCTAATTTTATTTTGAATGTTTCTTTTAAATCCCAGTTTTCATTATCACTTGTTTTTAATTCTTTATGTGAATTATGAGAATAAAAAGTGGAAACTAATATAGAAGACTATTGAAGTCATAATCTGGAGGAAACACAGTAGTTACCTTGATCCATCATATATGCTCTCTAGTATTATAAACAGGATTTCATCTGATTAATCTTTAAAGTTTATTGGAAAATACTGTAGTATTATCCCCAGATGAAGAAACAGGCCCATGTCAGCAGGCTGGTTTCTCCTGAGACTTCTGCCCTTGGCTCACAGATGACCACTTTCTCATTGTGTCCTTTTCACTGTGCATGCATGTCTGTGGTGCCACTTTTCTTATTACACAAGTCATACTGGATTAGGACCTTTTCATATTACTTCATTTTAAGTATCTATCTCTGAGGTTTTCTGAGAGTTAATACTTCATAAGAATTTTATAGGGTTATAGTTCAGACCAAAATGTTCTGTTAGAGGGCAGCTAACTTATCACAAAAGTCTGACTACCTTGCTGAAGGTAGTTGCTCTGGCAGATGAGAGATTATAAAAGGAGAGGAGAAGTTCTGCCAGCCCCCAGCCATTCCGGCCATCCCAGCTAAGGCAGCAGACCTGTGATTGAAACCATCATGGGTCCTTTGGTCCATCAAGCCACCAACCCATATTATACAGAACAAAGATGAGCTCTTTCTACCACCCTCTACCCATGAGCAGAGAGCAGATAAGCAGCAGTTCTTTTAAGCCACTTGTTTACAGGAGATTTGTTATACTGTAGTAGACAAAACACCAGAATACTATGTATGCAAATGGTTCTGTTGTCAGATTTGGCAACTCTAACATGAAATAAATTCACTTATATTGGGAAAACAAAAAAAGAAAAGAAAAAGAAACAGGCCCAGACGATTCCTATTCATTCCTTATAAAACAAGTTTTATTTTTGCAAGTGATCCTTAGAGTGGATACTGAAGCACCCTTAGAAGTAGTATACTAGTACCAAGCAAAGGATGAGGTCATATATTTGTAGAAGACTCCTTAAAAAAAAAAAAAAATATTTTCTTGGCTTACAGCAGAGTTGATATATATATAATCATTTATATACATATGTATGTATACACACACTCTAACAAGTATCTAAAGATATCAAAAGTTTTAAGAGAAAGAATGGTTAGTGTAGAAAGAAAAAAAAAAGTAGAAAGGGAATTATCAGTGTGAGAAGAGAGGCAGAATTCCCCTTGCCAGGACAGCAATGTCCAGAGAAGGGCTACCTTGACAAGAGAGACTAGTATGTCCTCATGGTGCTATCACTCAGATCTGACTAGCATAGCTTGAAGTCATCACTGCTTTATGTTCATATTATTGAGTTGAAGTCACTAGCATAGCTTTATGTTCATACCCTTGAGCTGACTACAGCCCTACCACAAAACTTTCTGTGGTTATAATTTTTCTTCTCAACATTGAGGTAATACTTCGCTCTGAAGACTTTACTGTCCTTAGGATTATAATATTTATCTCTTCAAAGTCACCAAAATTCACTTTTTAATTTATACATTAAAATGAAAAAAACAATTGAATGTGGTGGTGCAAGCTTGTGAGGAGAGGTAGTTGAGAATGCTACAGTATACTTTCACCTTCTTCCATGGGTACCTGGTAAATACTAGGTCCTATGCCAAATGCTGGAAAACTGAGGAACAGACATGGTCCTGACATTTAGGAACTATCATTCATGGAAGGAAATGGAGAGCTGTGACCACCTGTGCAGAAATCAGAACCTCTGTTTTCCAGTCACATGACTGCAATCTAGCCATAGCACAAGACCATCCCAGCTCCTCCCACTTCACCAGACACCCCAGCGCTGGAAGCAGACAGACTCCATCTTGGAAAACCTTTCTCGCCATTTTTTGGTAGGTGTGGCTATCAGTGTATATCTCCGTTTGAACAGACCCTGAAAGCTAGAAGATCCTGGAACAATATATTTCAAGCTCTGAAAGATAATGGGTGCCAACCAAGAATCTTGTATCCAGCAAAATTAAGCTTCAGATTTGAAGATGAAATAAAAACCTTCCACGATAAAGAAAAGTTAAAAAAATTTATAGGTAGAAAACGGGAACTACATTTTATGAAGAGGAAATGAAAAACAACAATGAAAACCAGCAAAGGGAGGTAGTACACTAAAGCAAAACATAATCAAAGAGATAAAACAAGTTAAATAACAAAAATAAACCAATATGGCTGGAAATACAAACCATGTCTCAATAGTAACCCTAAATGTTAATGGCTTAAACTCACCAATCAAAAGACATAGGTTAGCAGATTGGATTAAGAAAAAGGATCCAACAATATGTTGCCTACAGGAGACTCATCCGTTAGGAAAAGGCATTACACAGACTGAAGGCAAAAGGTTGGGAAAAATCATACCACTCACATGGACTGTGGAAGTAAACAAGGGTTTCCATACTCATATCAAATAAAGTAGACTTCAAGCCAAAATTAATCAAAAGGGATAAAGATGGACATTACGTACTGCTCAATGGAACCATACACCAGCAAGACATAACAATCATAAATATATATACCCCAAACAATGGTGCAGCTATGGAAGGAAATGGGTGTGGAATCACTATGCTCTTTGGAAAGTGGGAGAAGACCTAACAATAGGTTGTTGTTAAGTAAGATGCATAAATAAATGAGTGTGCTAGATAGGAAGTAGCAAGGATATCTGAAACAAAACAGCATGTGCAAAAGCACACAGGAGTGATGTGTTTGGAAAATATCAGAAGTGAATTGGGAAAAATGGCAGATGTGGCCAGAAAGAGAAGTTGAGGTTAAATCTCCAGTAGCCTTGAAGGATATGCTAAGGAATTTGTACTTTATCCTGCAGGCAATGTGAAGCAGTGAGGTTTTTGTTTGGTTTTGCAGTGCTGGGGATCTAACCCATCTGTGTCAGGAAAGCACTCTACTGTTGAGCTACACCCCCAGCCCTCAATGAGTTTTTTAAAGTAGAATTACATGCAAAGGATTCTGTTTTAGAAAACTAACTGCTGGCTGTCTGAGGGATGGATTGGAGAATGGAGAAATTTAAGGCAGTCAGCCCTTAGGGAGTTAATTGCAATAATGCAGCAAAAGATGGTGAAGACCTGCGCTAAGATAATAGAAAAAGATAGGTTCAAGAGATATTTAGAGCCAGGTGTAGTGTCACACCCTTATAATCCCAGTGGCTCAGAGTCTGAGGCAGGAGGATTGTGAATTCAAGGCTGATGTCAGCAATTTAACAACATCCTATCTCAAAATAAAAAAAAGGAATGGGAATATATATAGTTCAGTGATAGAGTACCCATGAATTCAATTCCCAGTACCCTCCCCCCAGAAAAGAGAGAGATTCAGAAAATAGAATTAATAGGATTTGTTTTGTTTTTGATGTAGTACATAGAAGCAGTAAGTAAGTTTTACAAGGGCAGAGGTGTTTTTTTTTTTAATTTTTTATTTGTTTTAATTAGTTATACATGACAATAGAATGCATTTATGCACTTTGATATATCATAATAATGGGATATAATTTCTCATTTTTCTGAGTGTACATGTTGCAGAATCATATTGGTCATGTAGTCATATATATATACATACAGTAATAATGTTTGTTTCATTCTACTATCTTTCCTATCCCCACATCCCCTCCCCTCCCCTCCTATCACTTCCATCTACCTAATCTAAGGCAACTCTATTCTTCTGTAGTGCCCTGCCCTTATTGTGAATTAGCATATTAGAGAAAACATTCGGCCTTTGGTTTTGTGGGATTGGCTTTTTTCACTTAGCATGATATTCTCCATAATTTCACTCTTCTTTAAAGGGTTGGAATATTTCATTGAGTATACATATACCACATTTTCTTTATCTATTCATCTATTGAGAGACACCTAGGTTGTTCCATAGTCTAGTCTAGCTATTATGAATTGAGCTGCTATAAACATTGATGTGGCTGCATCATTATAGTATGCTGATTTTAAGTCCTTTGGAGTGGGATAGCTGGGCCAAATGGTGGCCCCATCCCAATTTTCTGAGGAATCTCCATACTGTTTCCCATAGTGGTTACACCGATTTGCAGTCTCACCAGCAATGTATGAGTGCACCTTTTTCACCACATCCTCACCAACATTTATTGTTGCCTGTAATCTTGATGATTGCCATTCTGACTGGAGTGAGATGAAATCTTAAGAGCAGTTTTGATTTGCATTTCTCTTATTGCTAGACATTGAATACTTTTTGATATGTTTGTTGATCAATTGTATTTCTTCTCTGTGAAATGTCTCTTCAGTTCCTTAGCCCATTTATTGATTGGGTTATTTGTTTTTTTGGTATTAAGTTTTTTGAGTTCTTTATATATCCTAGAGATTATGCTTTATCAGAGGTGCATGTGGTAAAGATTTTCTCTCAATCTGTAGGCAGAGTCTCTCCTCACATTATTGTTTCCTTTGCTGAGAATTTGAATCCATCCCATTTATTGATTCTTGATTTTACTTCTTGTGCTTTAGGAGTCTTGTTAAGGAAGTCAGATCTTAGGCTGATGTGGTGAAGATTTGGGCTTATTTTTTCTTCTAGTAGGTGCAGGGTCTCTGTTCTAGTGCCTAAGTCTTTGATCCACTTTGAGTTGATTTTTGTGGGGGTGAGAGAGAGAGGTTTAATTTCATTTTGCTACATATGAATTTCCGTTTTGCCAGCACCATTTGTTGAATAGGCTATCTTTTCTTCAGTGAATGTTTTTGGCACCTTTGTCTAGTATGAGAAAACCGTATTTATGTGGGTTTGTCTCTGTGTCCTCTATTCTGTACTATTGGTCTACATCTACCATGTAGACCAATAGTATAGAATGTATTGATGCCAATACCGTGCTGTTTTTGTTACTATAGCTCTGTAGTATAGTTTAAGGTTGGGTATTGTGAATGGAATAAAATTAGAAATCAAAGATAAAATAAAAAAATAGAAGCTACTGTAACAAATGGAGACTAAATAATACACAATTGAATGATGAATGGATAGTAGAAGAAATCAAGGATGAAATAAAAAAATTCTTAGAGGTAAATGGGAACACTGATACTACATATCAAAATATCCGGGGCACTAAGAAGGCAGTACAAAGAGGAAAGTTTATTGCATTGAGTGCATTCATTAAAAGAATAAAAAGTCAACAAATAAATGACCTAATACTACATCTCAAAACCTTAGAAAAAGAGGAACAAATCAACACCAAAAGCAGTAGAAGACAGGAAATAATTAAAATCAGAGCTGAAATCAATGAAATAAAAAAAAAATTGAAAAAATTGACAAAAAGTTGGTTTTTGAAAAAATAAATAAAATAGGTAAACCTTTGGCCATGCTAATGAAGAGAAAAAGATAACTCAAATTCTAAAAGATGAAGAAGGAAATATTACAATGGACATGTCCAAAATACAGAAGGTAATTAGAAACTATTTTGAAAATTTATACTCTAATAAGATAAAAAATATTGAAGACATTGACAAATTTCTAGAGACATATGACTTACCAAAACTGAATGAGGAGGTCATACATGATTTAGACAGATCAATTTCAATAATGAAATAGAAAACACCATCAAAAGCCTACCAACCGGGCTGGGGATGTGGCTTAAGCGGTAGCGCGCTCACCTGGCATGTGTGCGGCCTGGGTTCGATCCTCAGCACCACATACAAACAAAGATGTTGTGTCCGCCGAAAACTAAAAAATAAATATTAAAAAATTCCCTCTCTCTTAAAAAAAAAAAAAAGCCTACCAACCAAGAAAAGCCCAGGGCCAGATGGATTCTCAGCTGAGTTCTTCAAGACTTTCAAAAAAGAATTAACACCAATACTCTTTGAAGTACTCCATGAAATAGAAAAGGAGGGAACCCTTCCAAACTCATTCTATGGGGTTGATACAACCCTGAGTCCAAAACCAGACAAAGAAACACCAAGGAAAGAAAACTTTAGACCAATATCCCTGGTGAACATAGGTGCAAAAATTCTCAAAAATATTTTGGCAAATCACATACAAAAACATATAAAAAGATAGTGCGCCACACTCAAATGGGATTCATCCCAGGGATGCAGGGTTGGTTCCACATACAGAAATCTATAAATGTAATTCATCATATTAATAGACTTAAAAACAAGAATCATATGATCATCTCAATGCAGAAAACGCATAGGACAAAATACAGCACACCTTCATGTTCAAAACACTAGAAAAACTAGGGATAGTAGGAACATGCCTCAACATTGTAAAAGCTATATATGCTAAACCCAAGGCCAACATCATTATAATTGGAGAAAAATTGAAAGCATTCCTGCTAAAAACTGGAACAAGACAAGGATGCCCACTTCACCACTTCTATTCAACATCATCCTTGAAACTCTAGCCAGAGCAATTAGACAAAAGAAAGAAATTAAAGGGATACAAATAGGTAAAGAAGAACTCAAAACTCATCACTATTTACTGATGACATGATTCTATACCTAGAAGATCCAAAAAATTCCACCAGAAAACTTCTAGAACTAGTAAATGAATTCAGCAAAGTAGCAGGATATAAAAACAAACCCACAAATTAAATGCATTTCTATACATCAGCGATGAACCACAGAAAGAAAAATTAGAAAACTACTCCATTCACAATAGCCTTAAAAAAATAATAAAAAAAAGCCTGAGAATCAATCTAACAAAAGAGGTGAAAGACCTCTACAATAACAGCTACAGAACACTAAAGAAAGAAATTGAAGAAAACTTCAGAAGATGGAAAGATCTCCCATGCTCCTGGATATGCAGAATTAATATTGTCAAAATGGCCATACCACCAAAAGCATTATATGGATTTAATGCAATGCCTATTAAAATCCCAATAACGTTCTTCATAGAAATAAAAAAAGCAGTCATGAAATTTATTTGGAAAAATAAGAGACCCAGAATAGCTAAAGCAACCCTTAGCAAGATAAGTTTATTTTTTTTTTCCAGTTATAGATGGGCACAATACCTTTATTTTAATGTGATGGTGAGGATTGAACCCATTGCCTCACAGGTGCTAGGTAAGCGCTGTACCACTGAGCCATAACCACAGCCCCTGGGGCAGAAGTTTTTTGTCTGTTTTGTTGACTAAGATTTCTAGGATCTGGCACTTGAGATCCTTATGTAAATGAGTGAAGGAACAAAGGAATGAATGAATGAATATACAAGTGAAACCAACCTCTTCCCTTCCTCTGTTACTACCCTGAGTTATCTTAGTTACAGGAGGATCAGTTAGATTTAATGTTTGGAACATAAGTTCCTTGAGAGCAGGAACTGTATTTGTTTTTCTCCTCATATTTTTTCAACTTGGCACCTTATAGGTCCCTGTTAAGTGTTTGTTAAATTAATGAATAATTCTCTGTTCAAATTTGTTTATATGTTTCAATTTTGCAGCTTTTTTATCCTTAGGTGGCATTAAGAGACCATTTTCCTTCCCTACAAAGGTTTAGCTGGGAGACTTTTTTTTTTTTTTAAACTGGTTGTGTACATTATTCTTTTCTAGTCAGTGATTTAACTTTTTTAATGGATATGTTAAAATTTAGAGCTGCTTATTTATAAATAAGTATTCTAAGTAACAAATGTCTCTCTCATAATACTCTCTAAAGAAGTAATTTATTTGGATTCAACAAATATTCATTACATGAATGAAAGAGCATACCTGATGTATTTCATTAATCTTTACCTGATATGGATGTATATGCTGACATATATCAGCAGTTTCTCAGAATGTTTCAAATAATATACATGCTGTTTCAAATTTTATAACAAAGCTTCTGCTTAATAAAATAAATAGATCCATTTTAAATTTTTTTTTTGTAGACAGACAAAATACCTTTATTTTATTTATTTTATTTTTATGTGGAGCTGAGATCGAACCTCACACATGCCAGGCAAACACTCTCCCAACTGAGCTACAACCCCAGCCCCTAGATCCATTTTTTAAAAAATATTTATTTTTTAGTTATAGGGGGACACAATATCTTTATTTTTATACGGTGCTGAGGATTGAACCCAGTGCCTCACGTATGCTAGATGAACATTCTACCTCTGAGCCACAACCCCAGCCCCAAATAGATCCATTTTTAACAGATTTTGACACAACAGAACACATCTGATGTAAACCAAGTAAGCTGAGGACCTAGTTTTTTAGGATTCATAACTACTTAGTGTTTTTACTCTTCAAAATTATTTTCAGAATAAAGTTGATCAGCACCTGAACTCATTTCATGTAGAGTGTCATTTCTGGGCCCTATGTTCATACTGAATCAAAATTTTTGCACTCATAAGGACAAGCTGATTATGAGTTCTGCAAAAGTTTTTTTCTTAATACCTTTATTTTTATTAATTTATTTTTATGTGGTATATTACTCTTTAAGATTTTTTTTTATTTTTATGTGAGGATAATCACATTAATAACTTGTGGATATCTTTGATACTAAATGTCCTTTATAGTCTAAGGTTTTGTTTGTTTTTTTGTTTTTGTGTTTCTTTTTAGTGCTGGGGATTGAATCCAGGGCCTCTTGCATGCTAAGTACTTGCTATACCATTGAGCTGTACCCCAGCCCTACAGTCTAGTTCTTAAATATTTTTCATCCTTTTTACCTTTAGTTCATTCCGCAGGCATTTAGAATTTTTCGGTTTCTCAAGACTCTGTGCTATTACAAATACTGTTTTCCTCTGCCAAAAATGCGTTTCCTTATCATTTTTCCCCTACTTTTTTTTTTTTTTTCTTTTGGTTCTGGGGATTGAATTTAGGGCCTTGTGAATGCTGGGCAAGAACTCTGCCAACCAAGCTGTATCTTCAGTCTTCCCCTACCATTTTTATCCAGTGGATTTACAGTTATATTTTAAGCTCAAATGTTATTTCTTTTTTGTATTAGGGAATGAGCCCAGGAGTGCTCTACCACCAAGCTATATCCCCAGCTCTTTATATTTTTTTTGCTAAGTTGCCAAGGCTGGCCTTGAACTCACAATCCTCCTGCTTTAGTCTCATGAGTTGCTGGAATAACAAAACTGTACCACTGAGCCAGGCTCAAATATTACTTCCTTTTAAAAGTCTTAAACTCCAGACATAGTTAGTGTTTCATTTTCTGTGTCCTGATGACATTTTGCTAATACCTCTGTTGATTTATCAAATTGCAGTTATCTGTTTCTTGGGATCATATTAGGTTAACATTTATATTTCTCTGGTTTAGGCCTGACTTCCTATTGGTGCTCAAAAGTGGATTGTTCAGCTGGGTGCAGTGGCACATGCCTCAAAGCCAGCCTCAGCAAAAGCAAGACGCTAAGCAACACAGTGAGACCCTGTCTCTAAATAAAATATAAAATAGAACTGGGGATATGGCTCAGTGGTCAAGTGCCCCTGAGTTCAATCCCTGGTACTAAAAAAAAAAAAAAAAATGGATTGTTGAATGAGTAAATTAACTAATCACCAAAGTAGGAGTGTCTATTAACTTGCCATATATGTTTTCTTTAATTATTTGTGTTTTCTAAATTTAATTTACTTATAACAATTTTTCATACTAATATGTATAGTGAGTTTTAAGAACTTCTTTTAGTTATTATTTTTTTCTGAAATAGATTCTGACATCAAAGTACTTGAAGATCAGTTTGATGAAGTCATAGTAGATATAGCAACAAAACGTAAGCAGTATCCCAGAAAGATCCTTGAATGTGTCATCAAAACCTTAAAGGCACAACATGAAGCTCTGGTAAGATGATTTATTTAATTTTTATGTATATTTTACCACAATAAAAAAATAAAGTATGTGAACCACATGGAGATAGATGATATTTTGTTCTCTTTGTCTTTCCTGTCTTAATCAGTACTATTTGTCTCTTAAGACTTATTCTTGATCTAAGTTGTATGAGGTGTGGAACACAGCTGATGTTAAAATTGAAATTGAAGATGGAAGCCTGATGATGACTTAATGATTCTGAGACCAGGAAGGGAAAGGAAATTTATCTTTTAACTGTTTTCTAGTTCTTATTTGTATTTGGAATATTATTTGTATATGGTTGTGTATTTTGGAATAACCCTTTAGTTAAATTGGTGGAGAAAATGATTTGAGTACTTATTTATAACGCTGAAATTCCAAATTTGCTTTATGAATTATGTATAATTTTTTTTTTTTGCTTTAAAACTCAACCATCTGGGTCATAAGATCAGGAAGTCAACTCCTTCAGACTGATCTCTTTAGATAGGCAGAATGATAGGCTTGCTTCTTCCAATTACTGTAAATATTAGTATTAACTGTATTATACCTTCATCTTTCAGATTTATTAGGACTGGAATAAATACAAAATAAGTCCACAAAGCAAATTAGATCTAAATGTCACCTTAGGGATTGTGGAAGGTTTATTGGAAGTGGCATTGCCCATTGAATACGAAATTTTTGCTGCTTTTAGACTATTCTATACTATTTGCCTTAAGTATTTGAAATCAGCATACTTTTGCATGTAAGTCTTCTAGTCTTTTCCCTTTCAGGGATTGTTCTAGGTCATTAAAGACTGGGCTTAATACTTTAAAACACTTTAGTCATCATTCTATGAAAAAAAAATTATAAGGAGATCGTTTCTCTTTTTCTTCCATAGCAGTTATTCTTCAAATACCTAATCTGTTACCACTTTAAAATTTCTTGAGAAAAACATTCTAAGCGTGTGTATTTTCTACTGTCTCCTTCCTTGCCTAGGTGATGTACCCACTGTACTTGTTTAAAAGTGAGGTAAAATGGATGGAGTGAAAATACCAAAGAGTTCTTTCTTTCTTCTTTAAATTTTATTCCATTTTTTAAACTCTTTTGCTCCTTTTGACTTTGGGCAGGAATAAGAAGAAATATTTTCCTCTTTCTTGTTGCCTGAACTGTGGAATTACCAATAGTTCTAAAGTAGTTCAAGTGTTAATATAGGATATGTAGATTTTAGTGTGATGATATGGTAGCTCAACTATCATTTAGAATGGCATTTCTGTGGAAATACGAATTTTGAGTTTTCCTAAATGAACTTTTGAAATGTAGTTATTCATAATTTGGAAACTGCCCTGTACTTTAAACAAAACATTCAGTCTCTGTTTTTAATTTACTTGATTGGTTTTTCTGATTATACCTGTTTTTATGGTGCTATTTCTTAGTGTATGCAGCAGGTGGCAGTACTATAAAAGATATAAATTGGACTTCCTGACCTCACCTTTTTTCCTCCCTTTCCTACAGATTTCAGGATCTAAAATATATATTTTCCCCCTTAAAAAATGGTATTATTGATTACATAGTATATTTTCTTACATTAGTTGAAAGACATTACGTGAGACATTATATGATTAAATTGTCTGTTTTATTTATGCTATTTGCAGAAACAGTACCAACCTGTTGTACCTCCATTGGATCTAAAATATGACCCTGATTCAGGTAAGGCAGTGTTCATTTATGGTAAAAATGAAGCATGAGCTTGTGATTTTTATTAAGTTCTTGCTGTTCTTCTAAAGGTACAGCATCAAAGATGTCTTCCTTTGATACTTAAACTTAACTACCAGTCATTCATATTTTACTCTTCATTCAGAGTTCTGAGAATTTGCTCTAAACCTGCTGTCTTTGAATCTCCAGGGCTGGACCCAGGAATCTAGACTTTATAAAGCTTTCTCCTGACCTAGATTACTATAACACATGCCCATTTCTAATTTTATTATAATAACTCTGTCTCTAATTGCTGTTACCGTCTGTTCTTTGCATTACAGTCAAAGTTATACTATTAAATCATAGTGTTATAACCTTCATTGGTTTCTCCTTGTTTACAAAATAAAATCCAATAAATAAAATTACATTGAACTTAAGAGATAGGTATTTATTGTACCTTTGAACCTAGTTTTATTTCCACTTAGATGTCTCCCTTAAAACACAGATAAATAAAATCAATACAAACAAACATATGGAAATGCAGCAATAGAGCTGACATTGCTAAAAATATGAATCATACATATTTTTAAATGTCTGTTCTCACATTTTAAAACTTTAGCAATCTTCCTAACAGACTTTTTGAAATTTCCTTTGGCACTCAAAAATGCCATTTTTTAACAATTATTGAGGGGCGGGGAACCTAGCAAAACCCTTGATTTATTTGATTGAAATAGTTATGCTCATGGCTTGAAATACCCTGTCTTTCTTGAATTCTGAACTCTTTTTTTCACACCTCTCTCTCCCCTCCCACAATTTCCCAAATCTCCTAAACCAGCAGGATAAACTGAGAAGGACAAGTACAAGCATTAGAAACTGTTCTGAAGTTGATTAAAATCACAAAACTCGCAGTTTGACTTTTAAAAACTGACCTAGAACTTAATGCTTAATCAATTATCATGGTTCACCAAAAATGGGTAGTTTCCAAATACAGTGATTGACATGTATTTGTTTTGATTTTGCACAGCATAAAAACAGTAATTGAAATTTGTTTCTTTAAAATATACTGAAGTATCTCTTTTTAGATACAGTTAATTTTCACCTAAAGAAACCTGGTAACCTTTTTATCTAGGAGGGAATACAGATTTACTTAAAGGATCATTTGAAGGTTTATGTGATTTTACTCCCAACATTCTGGTTACATAGCATTAGTATAAAAATCTTCTGTGTCATATCCTTCTAATCTCAAAAGTAAGGAAAGGATTAATTAGTGTATATCTTTTGGAAAATGTATTGTTTTTCTTAATCATATAAATAATGTATGCATATTTGAAAACATTAACAAGCAAAAATAGTTTAAATCACATTTTTAACATGTCACCAGAATTAGGAGTAAAATTGTTTGATATCTACACCCTTAAACTGCCAGCAGATCCTGCAGCCTTTATCTTGAAACAAACATTCCAAATCCAGCTGCCACTCACCAAATCTACCTCTTAATACTTTTGTTCTGTTTATCATAGGCTTTCTCTCTCTCTGGGGATTGAACCCAAGGCCTTGAGTATGCTAAGCAAATACTTTACCACTGAGCTACATCTTCAGCCCTCATCATATCCTCTTAGTAGGACTACTGTAATAGCTTCCTTACTAGTCTCCTTTTCAATCCTATTTTTTATACCATATCCAGAGAATTCTTTTAAAGCAAAATCAGGTTGTTACCTCTTACTTAAAACCCTCCAGTTTCTCCCATTATACTTCACCTGTTCTAGAATTTGGTCCCTGGCTGCTTCTCTGATATCATCTCTGACCCTGGTATTTTTCTCACTCTTATCCTTGCTTATTGTTCTTCAATCACAATAGCATCCTTGCTGTTCCAGGATGTTCCAAGCTCACAGTAGTCCTGTGGCTTTCAGGCTTGCTGCTTCCTCTACCCGAAACACATTTCTCTCTGAAACTATCTGCCCAACTCTCTCACTTCTTTCAATTCTCTATCAAACTATCACCTCATCAGAGGATCTTCCCAGAGAGCCTTTGTCAAATTCCCTTATGACCTTTATGGTCATATTCTATCACCTCCACCTGCTTTATTTTAGTCTAACACTTACTGATATCATTTCTATTTATTATTGTTGCCCTTCCCCTTTTCCCATATCTTAAGCTCTCACTTCTCTATGTCCTAACTTGTCAGGCTGTCCTGAATAGGAGCTGAGCATGCCCCCTTAGCCTTGAGTAATGGGGGTGTGGAATTGGAATCACATGCAGTGAGGCAAGTGGGCCTCACCTTCCCTTGATTGTCGTCTTCTGAGTTGCAAAATAGATTTCTCTCTCTGAAGACAAAGAATTCCCCATAGTTTATTTTATTTTTTACGTCCACTCACTTTCCTCCCTCCTCTCACTTTCACAAACCAATCCACAATACTCTGCAAATATATACGCGCTTCTTACTATTGGAGAGAAAGCCACACCTACCAAATGCCTGAAATTCACGCAGAATGTCCCTGTTCTGGGCGCCAACTATTGCCCATGTCCTGAGCAGGCAATGGAGTCAGGGTCCCTCTGCGTGAGTTGGGCTGGCAACGAAAAGACTACACAAACAAGAAATAATGTTTTTCGGGGATCAGGGACGGCTCTGAGACCTCAGGTGTCAGCTCCCACATTGGAGGGCAAGGGAAGTAAGGGAAGCAAGAGGCAAGAGAGCAAGCACACCCCAATCCCTGTTTTTATTTAGGGGAAAGACATTTGATAGAAAATTCCACCCAAATAAGGCAAGGGATTGTGTTACAACAAATGGGGATGTAGCCCAGTCCCCTTGGGTGACGCCCAAATCCTGAGTTACACTTCCTTGCCAAGGTGAGGCCCACTTGCCTCCCATAGCCAGTTCCACCCCCCCATTACTCAAGACTAAGGGGGCGTGCTCCAACACTAAGATCAAGTGCACGCAAGAAATATTAATGCAAAAATTTTTGTATAGATGAGCTCATATTATTCTCCTTTTAAAATCAAGGATACTGTTCTTTTTTTTTTCTTTTTGTTTTGGTGTCCTCTCTCCCTTCTCATCTGCCACTCCTTTAGATATTGAAAGTTAAGCTGGTATGAGTCCATTTTTCTCTGCACATATAATTTTATAGGAGCATGTATAAACTGGATAATTTGGGGGCATAATTTATTTTACATAAAAGTGATTCATATATCAGGTTATCTACAATTTAGTCTTCTAACTCAAATTTATGGTGGAAATCCTCCGGTTGAACTGGCATAGATCTAACTTGGTTTTAAATTGTGGTTGTATTTTAAATATTTTTATAGTTATGTTTTTATTATTTTGATACTGGGGATTGAATCGAGGGGCACTTTACCACTGAGCTACATCCCCAGCCCTTTTTATTTTTTAAGACAGGGTCTTGCTAAGTTTCTGAAGGCCTCTCTAAATTACTAAGGCTGACTTCAAAGGCAATCCTCCTGTCTCTGCCTCTAGAGTCATTAGGATTACAGGCCTGCGCATGCCTGGCTCTATAGTTAGTTTTTGTGTTTTTAATAAATATAAGTTTATCCTAAAAATTAACATAATTAAGAATTTTAAACAATTAGGAAATGATAATATACCATAGCCTCTTTTCCTAAGGCTACCTGATCGCATACACCTTCAAATAGGAACTACTGTTAGGAGTTTGGTATATCCAATTTTATGTTTTTATTAGTGCATTTGTATACAGATAGCACAGGAGTTTTTAAGTTGCTTTCTCGTATAAATATTACATAATACGTTGTGTTTTGTCAATGTTTTTTTCACTCAACAATATATAGTTTACCTTCATGGTTTTTAATTGGTAATTTCTTCACCTGTTGGCAATTTTATTTATTTATTTAGGTTCTAGTTTTATTTCTAGATCTATGATCCATCTTAATTTTTATGAATATAGTGAAGTAAGGGTCAAGGCAATTTTATTTAAATGGGATTATATACACATAGTTCTTGAATTTTTTTGAAAAATTGTTTTTGTTCCTTAATTCCTCTTTCCTCCCATATTCCACTAACATCTGCCTATATACTTTCACATCTTCTAGAAAATCTTTATCCTAGTGTTTCAATTTTGCTAATCAGTTTTTCTATTTTTATATTATACTTGTTTTTAATTTATTATTATTTTTTTCTTTCATGATGTGTGTTCTGATTTTCTTTAGCTATTGGAGAATCCAGAACTTTTTTTTTTTTTGGTACTGAGGATTGAATCCAGAGGCACCTTACCACTGAGCTACATCCTCAGCCCTTTTTTATTTTTTATCTTATTTTTCAAAAAATATTCTTTAGTTTTCAATGGACCTTTATTTCATTTATTTTATGTGGTGCTGAGAATTGAACCCAGTGCCTCACACATGATAGCCAAATGCTCTTCCACTGAGCTACAGCCCCAGCCCTCTTTTTTATTTTGAGACAAGGTCTCACTGAGTTGTTTAGGGCCTTGCTAAGTTGCTGAGACTAGCTGCAAATTTGTGATTCTCCTGCCTCAGCCTCCTAATCTCTGAGATTACAGGTGTGCACCACTGCACCTGGGGGTCTCAAACAATTTTTGAAGTCATCATCAGGTTGCTCTATTTTAATTTCATTTGCAGGAGGTTCCTCTCCCCAACATTAGTTATATCAGTCATCTTTCATGTTTTTAATTTCTTCACGTATGTTAGAATTTTTTCATGCTCTTCTTGAATAGAATTTTTCTTGTGCTTATTTTCTTGTTTTTGCTTTCACCCTTCCTTGTCCAGTATTTTTGTGGTTGCCTTCATTTGGCCTCAACAATCCCATGTAAGAACCATATCTTAAATTGGCTCATATCCCACTATTGATACTGGAGCCAGTCAGTCAGCATGTGGCCTGGTCCAGGTCCAGGCCTTGAGGCATTATTTGTTTCTCATTGTTTTTGCTATAGATTTAAGTAAGCTTCAGATCCTGACAGTGGTGGAAGGCAGGCTCCCCCACCCCCACCCCCACCCCAGCCTCTTTTTCAAGGTGGGAAAACTCACCT